AACAGATAGCAACAGTGATATTACCAGGAGCACATTAGATAAGATAGCTGATAATTGTTAATTACTGGAGCACTTAGCCTAAGATAGCTGATAATTGTTAATTACCCAGGAGCCAACATTAGCTACGATAGCTGATAATTGTTAATTTACCAGGAGCACATAGCTAAGTAGTTGATATTGTTAATTACCAGGAGCACATAGCTAAGATAGCTGATAATTGTTAATTACCAGGAGCACATAGCTAAGATAGCTGATAATTGTTAATTACCAGGAGCACATAGCTAAGATAGCTGATAATTGTTATTACCAGGAGCACATAGCTAAGATAGCTGATAATTGTTTATACCTGGGAGCACATAGCTAGATAGTGATAATGTTAATTACAGGAGCACATAGCTAAGATAGCTGATAATTGTTAATTACCGGAGCACTAGCTAAGAATGCTGATAATTGTTAATTACAGGAGCACATAGCTAAGATGGCTGAATATTGTTAATTTACGGAGCACATAGTAAGTATAGTGATTAATTGTTAATTACCAGGAGCCACAATAAGATAGCTGATATTGTTAATTTACAGGAGCACAATAGCAAAGGAAGATACGCTGATAATTGTTTAAATACCAGAGCACATAGCTAAGATAGCTGACTAATTGTTAATTACAGGAGCACATAGTAAGATTGCTGATAATTTTTAATTACCAAGAGCACATAGCTAAGATAGCTGATAATTGTTAATTACAGGAGAATAGCTAAGATAGCTGATAATTGTTAATTACAGGAGCACATAGCTAAGATAGCTGATAATTGGTTAATTACCAGGAGCACATGCAAGATTAGCTGATAATTGTAATCCAGGAGCACATAGCTTAAGATATTCCGAGAAATTTTAATTAACATTAGACATAGCTGAGATTGTTGAAAAAATTTAATGGCAGGGAAACATAACTAAGATTGTTGAAGTGTTAATTATCAAGGAACGCATAGCTAAGATTGTGAAAAATTGTTATATCAGGAAGCATAGCTAAGATTGTTGAAAGTTGTTAATTATCAGGGGAAACGCTAGCTAAGATGATTGTTGAAAAATTGTTAAATATCAGGGACGCATAGCTAAGATTGTTGAAGTTGTTAATTATCAGGAACACGCCCATAGCTAAGATTGTTGAAATTGTTAATTTATCAGGAACGCATAAGCTAAGATTGTTGAAAATTGTTAATATCAGGAACGCATAGCTAAGATTGTTGATAAATTGTTAATTACCTGGAGTGCATAGCTAACTAGCTTGATATTGTAATTAGAACAGATTATTAAGGTGTAGAAGGTTGTCATGTTACAAATGTTTGATTAGCCAGCCAAACGATTAATTCATCTCCGTCCGTTTTTTAACTCCAATAATTTCATTCTTTTTTAGGGACTGTATTGTACTTCCTTCTTAATGCACATTATATAATCATCATACATTAATATATTTCTTTTTTTCAAATTCAAAGTATGACTATTAGTTAGAACATAAGAACATAAGAATGGAGGAACACTGCAGAAGGCCTACTGGCCCATGCGAGGCAGGTCCTTACTTATAATGATTCGGATTGTCCAACATTGTTATGAATATGATGAGTTATGAGTGAGCTGCCCACAATGTGGCTGTATATGGTACACAGTACCAGGCAACTGTGTAGTGAAATCAACTCACTGTTACTGTGAGCAACTCACTGTTACTACAAGCATCTCACAGTAATGTGGATTGCTTGCACTAACAGTGAATTGCTGCACTACACAGTAAGTTGTTTGCACTATACATGGAGTTGTTTGCACTATACAATGAAGTTTTGTTTGTACTCTGCAGTGAGTTAAGTGCATATACAGTGAGTGCCTTGCATATACAGTAAGTTCCTTGCACTCTACAGTGAGTTGTTTGAATCTGCAGTGAGCTGTGTGCATTATACAGGGATTGCTTCACTTATACAATGGAATGGTTCTTGCACTATACAGTGAGTTGCCTGCACTATACTGTGAATTGTTTTGCGTTACACAATAAGTTACCTTTGTACTACCACAGTGACTTAAACACAAACTTCAAGACAAAGTGTAAAGACTATTTTCCAGAGGTCAAATATTAAAGGTTGTTACTTGGTACTTGTAAAATCAGGTGGAGATCTAACATTTCCTCATGAAGCTTCTTATGAGTTGAGCCAATAACATGTAGACAATAACATGTAGACTATAACTTGTAGACAATAACATGTAGACAATAAAAGCTTGGACTGAAAGAAACAGCTTGTGTTTGTTTTGTAGACACTGTCACAGAGATCAGGGTTGTCTTGTGTGTGATGGACGGGGAAGTAGTACATTCACTGCACGGAAAACTGTATCGGGAGGAAATCTTGGGATTTTTTTCTCACAATTCATCGCTAGGAGTAGAGGCGGAGTCATTTGGCATCCTGCTCTTGTGGGAGGTGCTTGGTCAGCCAGTGGGGTCTTGACTGTACTCACCTAGTTGTACTCACCTAGTTGTGGTTGCAGGGGTCGATTCATAGCTCCTGGCCCCGCCTCTTCACGGGCCGCTACTGGGTCACTCTTCCCGCTCCAACTCAGTGATAATTCGGCAAGTGGAAGTGTACACGTAGGGAACTATTATATTAAGTTCCGTAGTGTTCCAGCAGTGAACATAGAATGCAACACTTTCATGTAAAGACTATAATTATCAGAAGGTCTGGATTGTCTAAAGAAGTTTTGTTGCAATACGTATTTCCAACTCACTGGGTTTATATTCTCTGGAGCGTATGTAACTGTTCTTAAAAATAAACTGAGATTAAATAAATATATTAAACTCTGATACTGAGTCAGTAGACAACACATGTGACACAAAACAAGCGAATGAAATACATTTACATGAGAATTGACTTTCATCTCCGGCGAATACTAAGAGTTGAGCTAGTATGTGTTGGCTTTATTTAATTCAGTGATACACTGAAGAGCTGTGTTGCGTGAGTGATACACTGAAGAGTTGTGTTGTGTGAGTGATACACTGAAGAGTTGTGTTGTGTGAGAGTGATACACTGAAGAGCTGTGTTGTGTGAGTGATACACTGAAAGTTGTGTTGTGTGAGTGATACACTGAAGAGTTGTGTGTGTGTGAGAGTGATACACTGAAGAGTTGTGTTGTGTGAGAGTGATACACTGAAGAGTTGTGTTGTGTGAGAGTGATACACTGAAAAGTTGTGTTGTGTGAGAGTGATACACTGAAGAGTTTGTTGGTGAAGTGATACATAAGAGTTGTGGCGAGAGTGATACACTGAAGAGTTGTGTTGCGTGAGAGTGATACACTGAAGAGTTGTGTTGCGTGAGAGTAACACACTGAAGAGTTGTGTTGTCTGAGAGTGGCATTTAAACATGTAAAAACTCTGCTTACTAGTGCTCCTGTGCTTACTAGTCCCAATTTTGCACTGCCATTTTCTCTACAAGTAGACACCAGTGATACTGGTGTTGGTGTTGTGTTACTACAAGAAACATCAGGACAATTATTTCCTGTCAGCTACTTCTATTAAAAACTTAAAAAACACCAGAGAAACTATGCCACCATAGAAAAGGAGGCTCTTGCTTTAGTGTTGGCTGTGCAACATTCTTCGCTCTATGTATCAGGATCAGTTCATCCTATAACTGTGTATAGTGACCACAATCTTTTACGCTTCCTTCATCTAATGAGGAACCACAATCAGAGACTTACAGATGGGCTTTGTTCCTCCAACCTCTGAATCTGATGATTCGTTATGTGAAGGGGACAGAGAACGTGGTTACTGATGCATTATCTCGTGTGTACTGTACATAATGTAGTGTAGAAATATAGCTGATCTTGTTTTGCAGTGGTTGCTGTAGGTGAGTAGATGGCATTTCTGACCACCTAGTAGATTGAAGCTCGGTGAGCTGATGGAGGGGGGTATCAGATTTCCCAAATGTGTGTGTGTGTTTTTGGTGATAATCACGTCCGTACATGGCTAGGTAAAGTATGCTAACATAAGGTGAGGGCGGTGAGGCCTCACCTGTGTGATGTTGGTGTATGGACTGTTGGACCAAAGGTACGGTGTAGGCGGTGAAGCCTCACCATTTTTGGGTCATGCTTAGTGATCCAGTGTGTTTTGTGTGTTGTGTTTCTCCAGGAAAATCCTACTTTTTTTGGAGGGGGGACCACCAGGTGGGGAGACTCCAGGGTTCCTTGGTATAGGTGAGGGCCTGGGACGCCCACCTTTTAATGGGTGAAGGGGTGTGTTTTTTCTAGACCACAGTCCCACCGACAAAATTTATATGTGACTTAACTACCCAGTTTTGAAGTCTGGTAATTTTCCCTCCCATGTTCTCCGTTTCTCCCAGTGGTGTGTTTTGCATAGTCAGTTTCGCTTATTGTATATTGCTGTGAGACGCACCGTTGATAATGTAATTTTATATTTGTATTAGTATGCACACTAATTTTTTTTACACTGTTTCTGGAGACATTTTTTTATGAAGTGTTTATTTCATATGTGAAAGCAGAGTTGTGTGATAATGGAAGCTAAAGTTGTTTACAGAGTTTCTTAATTTATAATAATCATGTCATTAATGTGGGAACTTTGTTTACATAATTCTGGAGTTTATCTGGAGAGAGTTCCGGGGGTCAACGCCCCCGCGGCCCGGTCTGTGACCAGGCCTCCTTAGGTCAGTGTCCCAGGATGCGACCCACACCAGTCGACTAACACCCAGGTACCCATTTTACTGATGGGGAACATAGACAACAGGTGGAAAGAAACACGTCCAATGTTTCTACTCTGGCTGGGAATCGAACCCAGGCCCTCACCGTGTGAAGCGAGAGCGTTAACCACCAGGCCACCAGAGCAAGTTTTATTTTTGCAAGCAGAGTTGTGTGATAATGAACACTTATCCTGTTGAAACAGAGATTTTCTCAATTTATAATAAATTTCCTTGTATATCATTATTGTGCATAACTTTTTATGTAATTAATATGTACAGAGATAATCCAGTCAGCTCTTTAATTTTATGTCACGTATAGAAAATACATCAACGTAGGTGTTTGGCCAACACATGATCATTTTTACATCGAACAAGTTTCACATGTCTGTGGATTAGCAATGCTCATTGTAGAGATGAACTTTAAGGTGATAAATACTTGCTGTGTTTATCTATGTACAAGTAAATTGCACCAAGACAGTACTTGATACAGTTTTCTTATTTTTGGAGAATTTTGCCTTTCCCCAGACCTAAGGTTAATTTCCGACTGGTTCCAGCTAGCTGAGTGAGACGAGGGTCTAGGGAAGGGGGTATTACGCAGTGTATTGTAGAGAATATTTTATAAATAAAACGCTCCATATATAATGTCATTTACCGAGATTAGTCCTGAAACCGGACGTGCACTATTCTTGGTCAGTCAGAGTGGCCGGGAGAGGAGAGTGAGGTGTGTGTGGGAGTATGTTGAGAGCAGCAGATGTCCTAAGATGTCACCGTTTGTTTTGTAGGGGATGTTTTTTTTTAAGCTTTTACCATAGGTTAGTTTATTTTTAAGTGCTGTCATGTTTAC